GCATTATACACTCTTTATAATAAGACTTTGTTCTTGCAGTCACATGTGCATGCGTGGTCCTGAATAGCTTCGGCAGAAACCTGTTGATTCTACATAAAGCTTTTAGTCATGTCACTCTTACTTTACTGTCTGGAAATAGTGCATTTGAGAGAGAACTTCAAACACTTGCAATTTTGACTTTTGGGGCTTACGGTGTTACCATTGGGGGAGAGGTTAGACGCTGGGCAAACTATCTATCTTTTTTTTTCCTCTTCTCCCCCCTTTGCAGGAGCTGAAAGACAAGCTTTCAGAGCTGAAAAAGCTTTGTAGAAACCTCTTTTTCCGGGTAGAGGAAAGGAGAAAGTGGCCAGAACGTCTGGCTGCCCTGGACAGTCTGCTCAACCACTCGAGCATCTTCCTCAAGTAAGAACAATTTTTTTAGGAAGAAAAGTTGTGTGGCTGATCGCATAAGAGATGCCAGCAGAACTTTGACCAGCCAGTTTGAGTGGGAATGTGGTCTGAAAGTTCTGGTGCTCTCAAGGCAAGGAGGCCAGAACTGTTGTTTCTTAGTGGTCGGTTCTGCAGCGTCCATCAAGAGAAGCATGCAAACCTTGTGTAAGCTGGAGGAGCGGGAAGTGTCCAGTGCTCTGCTTGATGTTTCCAGGCAGACGTATCCCTCTTGAACTTAAGGCTTTTTTTTTGTTTGTTTGTTTTTTCTCCTCCATCTTCCCTGTTGTTTAGCTCTTGTGGTAGCTGCATTTGCTGGCTCTGTTCCATTCCTAGCATCCAGCGATTGATTTAGGCCTCTTTATCTGTGTTACCTGCAGATGGTAACTGGTGTGCAGTGGCTATTAGTATGTTTATTATTGGAATTGAAAACACTAAGTGTTGCCTGTTTGTAGTCTGTTTGGTTACACAAAAAGAAACTTTTTTTTAATCTTTGAGGGGAGCCCGAATGATTCCCGAGTCTGACCAGATATTCACAGAAGTGGAACTGAGTACACTGGAAAAAGCAATCAATGAAACAACGGTAATAAAGAATTGAATGATTGTTGGGGGGGGGCTGTTTTGAGTTGTGCTTCCTGTCTTAAGTAATGGCTGTGCTTTCACTCAAGGTCACATGCGTGTCTTGTTCCCATACCTCCAGCAAAACCTTTTCCGTGTTTCAGTGTTTTCTAATCCCCATCTTGACCCCAGGCTGCTTTGGGGAAATAATGATTCTTGTGTTGCATGTGGCCGACTGTCTCCAGGAGGAATGCTGTAGCCCAGTAATCTGGCTGCATACAGTTTTAAAAGTAGCTCGTTTTTTGTGTTCTGTTTCTTTTTGCCCTATGCCTGGGATAACTAAGAAGGTAGAAGAAATGCAGCAGGGAATAGTGTTACCTTGAGTAAATTAGGAGGCCTAGGAGCAGTGATTTCAAGATACTGTGACATACTGTGGTTTGTAGAACCAAGAAGTACCCAAAAAGCACCTCTTTTCCCCTGCCCCAGGTGTGGAAAAATGAGACGCTGGCTGAACAGAACAAGCTCGCTCCTACTGAGAAACCTGTCCTGCTTTCCAAGGATATAGAGCTCAAGATAGCAGCCCTGGACAGGGAAGTGCAGTACCTTCTGAATAAGGCCAAGTTTGCAAAACCCAAACCCAGAAAGGAGAAGAACGCCACAAAACCTGATTCAGGCAAGAATGCTACAGCAACGTCTGAGAGTGAGAACACTATCCCTCCCACGGAGGGGAAACCTGAAGGTAAGGAAGGGAGTGGGCAGCATTGCCTCACGAACTTGTCGTTACCACGTGTAACACACATCTCTGCCTTGAGTAAGAAAAAGCTGAATAAGTGGACAGTAGCTAATTGAAGGATGAACC